TAAAACAAAACATTATATATCTGAGTAATATATATCTGAGTAATATATCCTTTAATAATTTATAGAAATATTAGAAAAAGCAACCCATACTAGTGTTCTAAGTTTAGAAAAAAAAAGTTTTCTATCTCACTGAAAGATTTAGTGCTCACTTCACAATCTGCTGTATTTAGACCTCCTAGCTGCTCGGGTCTACTCCAGTCAGAAAATTATACAATCAGAAACTTATTCTCATCAGTGAGCAATATTGGTTCTGGAATCAAACATTTTAAGCACTTATTTCTCATGCATAGGTGGAATCTATTGTCTTTTAGTTGATGCAACTTATATTTGAGCAAATAAAATCAAATGTAAATTATTGAATTGATTAGAAAAAATAATATCTCAGAGATCATGGTGCTTAAAATCATTTAAAAATGTACTGAAAGTTTAGACTAGAAGCTAAAATAATATAGCTCTGCCCCGAACTTCATAGCTGTGTATTCAGAAAGCAGCTGAATCACATGAGTCTTAAATCCCTTATATGTTAATATGGGAGTAAAAATGCAATGATCATTTTTTGCTCTGAATTCATGCTTATAGCTGAAAAATTTCTCCCACAAGACTTGTTTTTAATGAAGTTCTAACCTACTGAATTTAAAGTTGATATTTTCTTTTTAACTAAATGTTGCTTTGATGGCTTCTGTTACATTTTGTATCTTACTTTTATAATCCATCCAATAAAAGTTTACAGATCATGCACTTGAAATCACCTAAGGACATGAAAAATATGTCAAAGAAGTCATCAAGAGAATCACAAAGAATGATGGAATTGCCCCCATGACATGCTATGATGTCAATTCAATCACTTATGTTTCTACTTTCTTGCAATGGATCAGGCAAAATAGATTTTGTAGCTGAACAGCATGCAAGACACTGAAAAAAATATCATATATGTATTATGTTTTTAGGTAACCTGTGTAAAAGTGGTCACATATGTGTCTGCCTGGTTAAAGCACAGACCTGCATCCTTGAATGATCCAGTTTGATTTTACCCCTGTGAGAAGTAAGAAGGGTAGTTACTGAAGTTTAGAAAGGCAGCATGAAACAGAGAGTTCAGTCAACTGTGCTTTAACAAGTTTAACATCATGTACCTGCAGATAGAAATTAGTTATCTGTTTGAAAATCCTGCACATTGAGTAATATATTTGAAACATAGTAGTAAGGTTAAATATTATTCAACATAGACTTAATCAACAAGTTACATAATTATATTATTTAGGAGATAAATTTAAATACTATAATGTGCTTATGCAAATCTTTTACATTCCGCTTGCTCTTCAATACAATCATCATTTAAAAACAGGTAATATACAGTGTGGAGTGGGGTAAGAGTAAATTGTATAAATTGGAAAAGCATATTGTAAAATTGTGATTTCTTGGTTTACCTTTAATTATCACATATTGTTAACTTTGACATTCTAAACAGCATTGAAGGAAAGTGATGTTTCAGACTTATTGAAATATAAACAGTAAGAAACATTGATTTAAATATATAAGATCAATATTTCTTTCTTTTTTTGGCAAGTGAAAAAATCCCTTAAAGATGGAAAGATTTTTAGAAAATTGGCAGGAAAAAAATGGTATAAAATCATTATGTAGAAGAGTAATTCTATTTTAAAAGAATCTATGAATAAAAGACAGGATCAAAGGCCAGCTTCCTCCCAAAATACAACTGTAAGTCAGACCTAGATCTTGCTGAGTCAAATCAATTTTTGGAAAAGATTATATTTTCTAAAGTTCAGAAATAAGTAAAAACCTAAACTATTCTTTTGTAGACTAAAACTTCCTCTTTCAGAAAAAGACTTCGAGAAAAAAAATAGACCTAATGATGAAGGAAAAAAAAATACCATTACAGCAAAAGGATATAAAATATTTAACCTTGATTACAACAGATCTTTAAGCAATTTTTTTTTTTTGTCAAATCAGTAGAATACACCCATTTCTTAACAAGAAAGCACTTTTAAGTCTTTCCAAAGATGATGGCTTTCCAAGTTGAATACTCAATAGATAAATGAGTGGATGGATAAATGAAAGAGTGAATCAGGTGAACCATATGTATGTTTGCTCTTCTGCCTGAGATTTCCTTCTGACACATCTGCCCAGTGAATGTATCTCCATACTGTAGGGGCTGGTTCAAGGGACTCCCTACTCATGTGCTCCAGCCTGATACAGTCCCTTGCTCAGGGCATCCTCAATGGATTGGCTTGTTATTCTGTTATGTATGAAATGCGCTTTGCTTTGCTTCATGGTATAATTGTTTGCACAATTATCTCAGGTGCAAATTATTAAATTGTAAACATCTTCATGTTAATGATTATTTTCTATTCACATTTGAAGTATATGAAGTTTTAGTGTGTTTTTTTGGGGGGGAACCCAATATTTATAAAGGGCCAAAAATATTTCATGAGTATAACTTGGGAGAGAGAAAACTACACCTATCATAATGCTGGGTACATAGTCATAGAAAATTTCAAAACATTCTCTTGTTATACATAAATACAATAAATAAATGAAATAATACTAAGTAGCCTAGTATTAATACAAGTAATTAATAAAGGTTACATTCATAGAATAAACTTTGTTTCACATTTTTATTTGCCTTTATTTTACAAGTAGCTATGTGAAATGTCTACTTTATGTAGGTAAAATGAATATTGTAGTTTCTTATTGCTCAACTCAATATATTCTTATTTTGTATGTTTTTCTAATTTAATAAGTAAAAATTAATTTTTCTTTCTTGGTAATTTTATATGCCTTTATTTCATTTTATTTTTGACTTTTATTCATTTTTTTAGGTATACATGACCGAAAAGTGTATTTCACATATTATACATATATGTAGTATAACTTATTCTAGCTAGGACCCTTTTATTGTGGTTGTACATGATATGGAGTTTCTCTAGTCATGGATTCATATATGAACATAGAAAAGCTATGTCCAATATGGTATAATGGGCTACATGTTTTCCCAAGTTATATCCAGTGTCTACATCTTTTAGAAAATAAAATTATTTTCCTTAAATTTTTGACACTTTTGTAAATAATATTTCATAAAGGAATTTCTTCTCAAAAAGGAATAATAACCAGGAGAAGTAAAAATATGGAAGAAGCATATCAAACACTTCTAATATCTTTTACAGTGTGTCCTACTAAGACAGTCCACATTTTAATCAAGGTGGCAATATACGCAGATAAATGTCCTGCTTCTGCCAGGCCACCTTGCTTTTAGGGGAGACTGTGTCTCACTGCTGTTGCCATTAGACACAGCCATATAGTTAGCCGAGGATCTCTGGGAAAGCTTCAGCTTTCCTCAGACTAGTGTGACAAGCACCTCCTCTGCCTCTTTTTCTTTCCTTCTCTTTCCTGCCTGGAAATTGAACATAAATATGGCTACATTATATCAGTCATATATAAAAATGGGGATTAAATAGAAAAAAGCCACATGTGAAGATTGGAGCCTTGAACATGGAAGCCATGTGGACTGCTGACCTCCAGACCTTGTTAAATATGAAGGTAGAATATTCGGTCTAGTTATGCCAATGTATTTAGGTGTTCATTTTATGCAGCTGAACAGAACCTTGACTTACACAGGATACAAAAGTAATGCCAGAATAAAAGCTGCATATATGGGGATTGCTCGTGTACTATCAAGTAAAGTAGTTTTAATCAAATAATTGGAGTCTGAATGGATAGGTATAGTTTAGTGCACCAGTGAGTGGGAGTACTCTACAGCCTATAAAGTTTAATTGTGAGAAATGATATAATAACTAGTTAATTTTAATAAACACAACTCCCTGAAAAAAACATGAGGATTCAAAAACACAATGACGTTTTCTTTAAAAGAACCAATGCCAAATTTGTTTACTGTTTTTTCTGTAATAAGGCAATAGGTCATGTAGACAAAGGAAAAGATTTAAAGTCAATGAACTGAACTTCAGTGATGCTTTTTAATGTTATTTCATCATTTTTTTCAATGATGCTTCTGAATCACATATCAGTCTCATTAACAAACAAGTGAGAGTGAAATAAGCCTTAGAATTATTAAGAACCTAAGAGCTATTGCAACGGGGCTTTTACCAGACATGAATATATTAGGAGTGACCACTAGGGCCTGGATTTGGTCCAAAGAGTCTGTCATATTTATCAATAATTTGCATGAGAAAATGCTGGCATTTTATTATAATGCACTATTATATTTTATACAAATATATGTATGCACACACACTAATATATACACAAACAATACTATAATATATAAAGTATACTGGTAATATTGAATGAATGGGAAGGGAAGTGTTATTTAGTCTTGAGATAAAAAGTATTATAAGATTTAAAATCAGTTCCATAAAGAAGACAATGAGATAATTTTGAGGAAACAAATTTAAATACCCAAAATATAAAAATTGAGAATGATTTCAGAGATAAACTATAACCTAATGAATCAGCATTAAGTAATATTAGGAGTGCAATTATGAGTGCAATATTAGAATAACAATGAACCAGCAAATGCATAATATCATTGTAAGGGAATATTTGATTCTAAATTGAACCATTACAGGGAGGTAACAGAAAATAATTATATTCCTACTAACTCTCCTGTCTTTCTGTGGCATGCAAGATAATGACTAAAGCCAGGACTTCAAATTTTAGAAAGCGCCAAAAGCATAAGGAAGTAATAGCATCTTTTCTCATTATTTTAGTCTCAGTCTCTACAAATACAGATTAATTACATGGACTATCTAGGATTATTATGAGGAGAAAAATTTCATAATGTGAATCAAAGTAGCTAGTCTACATATTTCCCTTTGCATGTGTGTGTGTGTGCTTGCTTTTCTGTCATTGCTGAGGTGATCAAGTGTCCTCTTAACTTTCTGTGCTCCTTGCTGTGTAGTAGATGCTGTGGAGAGCAACTCAGATCCCACTCTCTGGTGAGCCATTGATTGTTTCAGCTTCCAGAAGTGGTTAGATGCAGATAGCTCATAGCCTAGTCCTTCTTTGGAAATTGTCATGGAACAGAGGTGCTGCCTTACCCTCTTCCCTTAATTTGGGTCTATGCCAAAGTGTCATACTATTACTAGGGACACTGTAGGGTCAACCAAGACCTCTGTTGTAATTATAGCACTTCAACATCCCCCTCTGCCCAATCATCTGGAATCCCTCACTTTTGATAGATGTTAGGTATTGTTTCCGAGAACACTGATCATTAAATCTCCTACACACAGATTTCTCTTTCATAATAATCCCATGACTAATGTAAGTTAACATACAAAATTCCAACCTGTCTTCAGCTCTGATTTTTTTCCTTAAGACATGTTAATAAATACCTACAATTCAGTTTCACTTTTCTGTCCTGCAAGAATCTCAAAACTAAGTGACCCCAAACTAATTGCTATATCTTCCCTACCCCATAAATTTTATCTTCTTTCTGCATATTTTAAGAGTATCAATATCCATTCAGTCTTCTAAGTCAAAATATTTTGTATGGATTGTATCCTCTCTAAAAGATACATTAAAATTCTAATTCTGCTACCTTTGAATGTGATCTTATTTGGAAATAGGGTCTTTGCATATATAATCAAGTGAAGTTGAGGTCATTAGTGTGGGTTCTAATCCAATATAACTGGTGTCTATAAGAAGAGGAGAAGACAGAGACACTGAGGGGAAATAACACATCTAGAGGGGGACAGAAATTGTGGTGATGCAGCTGAAAGCTGAAAGGATTATCAGAAACCACCAGAAACCAGGAAGCTCAAAGAAATCAGAAGATTCTTCCCTGGAATCTTGGGAAAGAGTGTGGCCCTGGTGAACCATTGATTTCAGACTTTCATCCACCAAAACTTCCAGACAAAAATGCCTGTTGTTTTAGTCATCAAGTTTGTTTCCTAAGCACTAAGACACTAATACATTGTTCAAACAGTTCATGACCTTATATCCAGTCCCTGGGCTCTTACATTTTAACTTATAAGTTAAGATAGATTTGTATTGCAGCTAAGTGAGAGCAGGACATTTTCCCTTTGGAAATCAACACAGTGCTTGGAGCATAGCAAGTTGCAATAAAGATTTATTGAATGAATGGATACATTTCATGCTTCACTTGAGGTCCATAATGAGGAAACATTCCATTGCCGATGATAAGATCTGCTCAGTGTGTTAATGTTTGCGTTTTGCCTTAAGGGCTGCCCTGCTCCTCAGTAGGAGGCTGACTGAGAGAAGCTGTCAATTCAGTGCTGACATTCTAAGAAGCAGCGACAGGAGACTTAGTCTCATGGATATACTCCAGATGACCATATGCCTTCTTGATTCAAAGAGACTGTTCTGATAAATGTGGATGTTCTGCTGCCACCTGTTTTCTCAGAAATGTTTAAATGAACCTTTCAATTGAACTTATTTCTTGGTAAGATGTTTTACTATTAAATATTCTGACTTGATTCTGGAGTGTACATTTAACTACGTACCCGCCATGAAAATCTGCCTTCTTGAGAGTTAGTGTTAAAGGTAGACTGAAATATCTCTACAATGTATACTGGGAAATGGGGTACTAGGTCATACAGACAGGGGATTTTAGGGAGAAAGAGGGAGAGGTGTCAAATGCCATTGATGTTCTTTCCCTTTGTTGAAAATACAGGTCTTTAAAGAGTCAAATGCGAAAAACATAACAGCACCTGAATAATCAAAAGGATATATCAGGAACATGAACCCAAGTCAGGGAAGAAGGTAGGTTCACTTCCCACGACAACTCCATCCATCACAGTAGTCACTAGGAACACTCTTGATAAGGATTCAGAGGTTGCATTCAGATTTAGGCAGACTTCAGAGACTATGTCTAGAAAAGGCCTTTGTAACAAGCTCCCCAAATGTCTTCCACACACTAATTTGTGAACCACTGCCCGACATCATGTTACCTCTTTCAAATTCTTTTCATATCAAATAGCTCTTGACTGTGTGTGTGTGATGATCCAATTCTATACTTACAACAATTGTTCGTTGAACACTTACTTTTTGACAGACATTGTCTACTAGTCTTGTAATCTTCATTGCATTTCTATTTTACATGTAAGTAAACTGAAAAAAAGCAGTTTTTTTCCCTCTCTCTCTCTTTGTGTGTGTATATGTGTGTGTGTGTGTGTGTGCATTTTTTTTTTTTTTTACTGTCTTAATGAACTACTCCAGATAATGGAGTTTGTAAGAATCAAAGATAGGATTTGAGGCAAGCATTCTTTCTTGAGAGCCTGTATTCTTAATCATGACCCAAGGAAATTATTAGGACCCAGATGACCTGAATGTAAGGAATTCTGAGTTACATTTTATTAGGTAATCTAGATCTGCCTCTCTGGCTCATCAAGTCTCATCAGGAATGTGACAATCGGGATTTTAAAGACATCTAAGAGATGGAAACAAGAAGAAAGTACAAAGGAGAAAATAAGCAGTTTGAGAAGCTGGAAATTCAACTGGGAGTAGAAGATCATGGGAATTAGAGCAGGGAAGGTTCACACAGAGGGGTTAGAGATACTTTAGATAAAGAAAATTTGCATTTTATGGGTTTAAACTGAAGCGCAAAACAAAACAATAAAGGAAAAGTTGTTCCAGAAACATTCTAATCTTAAACAGATGGAAACGAAGACCCCAGACACATGGATTTCCCAGTTGACCATAGCTTAATATTTCTGAGCTATCATTTCCTATAGATGTTGAAACTTCCTCCTTGCTCTGTTCTAGTATATTGTCTAGTGTGTTTCAATGTCCTGAAGGTGGCACACTTCAACATGATTTTTCGGAATGTTTCATGGGAGAGGTGGCAGAGTAACTTAATCAGTAACAGTAACAGTCTATTTCAGGTACCAAAATACTCAACAAATGAAATCACTTTGGTTTACTCCCTGCAACTCCTGAAGTGCTTCAACACCTAGAGTTCTGAGCTTGCACAGAGAGTGACTGTTTGACAGGCAACTGAGGTTTTTCAATCTTTTTAAATCTTTCTTCATACAAAAATGGGTAACTGAGTTAATTTCCCTTTCTATATGAGACCAAGCTCAGATACCTGCTACCATGAAAGTGTGCAGAATCTGAGATTCTACCTTTAAGATAAAATAAATAACTTTTCAAAGCATTATTTCTTCTATATAAAGGACTTAAAATATAAAATATTTTATTCCTTATTTCAGCATCTTGGAAAAAATTTCCTTGACTAAATAAAAAGTTTCATTTAATCACTTATTCACACAATATGTAAGCACTGAGCATTTACAATATACATGACATATATATGACTATATATATAATATACTATATATAGTTCATGATTAATATGTAGTTCATCATTATTCCATATAACCTTCTTTTCTATATCCACTATAAACTCACAGAGAGCAGGTCTTAGTGGGGTTAAATAGATATAAGATGTTTGGCAAATATCTGTCAACTAATTTTTAATGTGACCTAAAGAAAAGAAAATTATTTTCAAGCAAGTAAATCTTGCTTGAAGCATCTCTTAAGCAATGACATAAAAATAATTTATGATACTATTCACTTGTGGTGATTGTATTTCATCGTAGTAAATTATAGCTCAACACGTACTTTGACTTAATTAAAAATATACAGGTAAGATGGGTAAAGAGGACCCAAAAGAAAGTTTTTAACGATGTTCCTGTTCTCAATGAGTTTAAAGTACAATTTGATGCATACCATAATTTCAAAAACATTAAAACGCAAGACTAAATAATAAATCCAAGAAAGACAGTATCGAATTAAAAATGAGAAAAGATTCCATCCATTTGGGCAGAGATTAGATACAATGGGTAACACCTTGGAACACTTTGGGTATTTTTCTAAACACTTTGAATATTAATGTAAATTATAGTTTAAATACTCAGTTTTATAGATGAAGAATCTGAGGACTATGCCTTGAAGAATGAATATAGGATTTTGGCTGCAGAAGGAAATCACAAGCATGTCACACAGGTAGAAAGTGTTTATGATCTGAAAGGAAGACTGGTCCAGGTGATGGTTCTACAGCTGAGCATGAAGACATACAGCTGGTTAAAGCTCCTGGAGGCTCTAGGGTGGTGGCCTTATATACAATGCATAATTCAGGAGAATTTGGGGACCATAAACACATCATGGAGTGATGTGTTTAAGATTAAATCTGAGTGAAATTAACCTAATAAGTGAATTAGGGTAGATGGAAAGTAGTGGCAGAGGGACCAATGGAGACTTCACTTTCAGTGGCCGGGGCTGGCAATGAGTATGAAGATGATGATGAAGCAGAGGAGAGATGCATTCAACAGAATGTAGAAGGACTCTGATGTGACTTTACAATTGGTAACATGGGATGAAGGATGATGAGGAGATCAAAGATACCCAGTGCTTTCAAATACAGCAAAGTAAGATTAAATTGATTACTAAGAATCAAGAAGAAAACTTTATCAGATGAACCTTCAGGACATTGTTGTGTAAACTCACCCACACATTCTCCATTAGCCTATGTAATGTTGGAAAAAACTGAGGACAACAGACATCTGAAATTTGATTCATGTCCTACTAGTTGGTAACATGTAACAATGTGTGTAAAGCAGTCTTACCTCTTTGCTGTAGTCACTGTCTGAATCACTGCTAAGTTCCTCAGTATTCATATTTTCCAAATCAGATTCTCCAGGTGCAATTGGCACTGTCACTGTGAGGCTGGGATTATGAATAAACGATTGACAATCGCTTCCTTCCATCAAGCTTCTGTCCACACTGCTTCCAAACCCGCTGGTTTTATCTTTTCCCTTGAGGAAGGGGTGATCTTTATTCATTTCAGCAAGTGTACGGTTTGAGATATAGTTGTGTTTTTTGCCATTTAGATCTTCTGCTCGTCTTATCTCCCTGGACATTTTTGGCTTTTTGGAAAATGTTTTTAAAATGAGTTCACGCAAGGTCTGTTTCACATAATTTATTCCCTTTTTGATTCTGGCCACAGCAATCTGGAGGTTGTTTGCATCGGTGTCTTCCTCAATTGCCGTGAGATTGTCAGAACTAAATGAACTCAGCAATAAAGCCAGAAATAAGTTCAGAACCTATAACAGGGTAAGAATGGGAGGCAGAGAAATAAGGAGACAGGAAATAAAAAGTAAGCAAACTTTCCTGAAATATAGGCCACAAAACAAATCAGAAAAAAAAAAAATCTCCGAACCTTCTCACCCACAGAGAGCAGTGGAGGAGAGGGCAGAATCCTCACTACTCACTCCATACACCAGAGAACTGAGAACTCTGGAGAGCAGTGTAAGCCATACCCATGAAGAATTACAGTGGGGAGCACAAAATGATCCCTCAGCATCAAGGTAGGTCATTTCTAAGTCCATTTCTGCCGCAGGAGTCCCTTTGTCAAATTGCATTTAGTAAACTTTAAAAATTCTCCTAATACTCATTTATAATTTCTACTTATTTCCAATGACAAACAAATAAAACAAGAAAATTGGTTTATTGTTATACTCAGGTCATTCAGACCAAGATCTCTGTTCACTTATCCCAGAATATTAGTGCCATTTATTTCAACAAAAGAAACACATGGTACTTACAGAGTTCCTATAATAAAGCATTTTGCCGATTTTTTGTGCCAACTTGCAAATTGAAGTGACTTTTAAGGGACAGAAGAGGACCCATGCATTGGACCTATTCTTTTGAAATAATGACACTAACTGGCTTAATTTCTTATCATTTTGGCCCTGGAAGAGTTACAAAAGAAGTCACTACAATGTCTATCCTTGAAAAAAAATGTCCTGTTTATGAGCAAGACCATTTCCATTTTTCTTCCCTGAAGTAAGATCCAGGTGAACTCAACAATGTTTTTAAAGAAGAAGAATAATTTCACATAGGGTAGAAAATGCATAAATTATATTTAAACATTATATTATATAAGAAACAAAAAGGAAATTGAATTACTATTTGATTAAGTCTTTTCATGACTAAAATTATCCACCTCTCATTTTAAAAAAATCAAAATCACACCTGAGAAGAAAGGACTTGCCCTTGATTTTAGCCACAACTTAAACACTTTGTGAGATGTGTAAGTATGAGAGAGCAGGTTGAAACTGTCAAACAAAGTTCTAGGGGTAGGGATCTATGAATCATAGAAAAAAAATTTGATGATCACTAACAAATTCTAAAATAGTTTATTTTAATTCTAGCCTTTTCATGTGTTACTATGAAATATATGATTGCATATGTTTGTGTTTTAACAGGAATATTGATAATGTAAGTCTGTTAAAGCATTATTGTACTTGACCTACACAAGTGTCAGCACACTTCTTTTCAGTACAGTGTTTTTGTTGTGTCATTTCATTGAAAGCAGATTCTTTTACTTCAAAAATCCTAATAAGACAAATTTTATCATAATCTAATGGATAGCACCAATGTAAATAATAAGTTCCAATTCCTATCTATCATATCTATTACTGTGTTGGGAAAAAATGAAACAGTCATGAAAATATTTGATTCAAAGTCTAATTTTTTTAACACATTAGTTTATTAATGTAACAGTTTCTGAATACAGATTTGAGCTGACTGAAATCTGTTTTTCTAAATTTCCCTCTGAAGTTTAAAATTAATGGACATTCTTTGTGTGTCTGTTTGTCATTGAGTTGTTATTATTATTCTTTATTATTATGATGCTAGCAAGCAGTGCTCTATCCTAGCCCTTAAACTTATGGTTTTTAACCATTTCAATTAATTAGTAATAAACTGACCCATTTGTAGTGAATGAACAGAACTAGAAACTATGATGCTAAATGAAATAAGCCAGTCAAAAAAAAAAGACAAATGTCAAATGTTTTCTCTATATGTTGAAGCTAATCCAAAATAAGAGGTAGTGGGATAAAAATAAATAAATAAAAGAAAGATCAATGGAATAGGAGACTGAAGTGGAGGAAGGAAGTAGATGAGATGAGAAAAGAACAAAGTAGTTAATCTGACCTAGCTTTCCTAGGTACATATATAAATATACCACAGTGAATCTCACTGTCATATATATTCACAAGACACTACTTTTAAAAATGTAAATAAATAGCAGAAAAGTCAGTATAGTTCAGGGAAGGGAACAGGGAGAGGGAGAGGGGAGGTAATGGTGACTAAATTAGAACAAATTATATCCTATGCTTTTATAATTTTGTCAAAATTAATCCTAGTGTGTGTAAAACTGAAAAGAAATAATAAAAAGAGAAAAAGAATAAACGAGAGAAAAGATTTAAAAATTAGACTAGTTTAGGATATAGCTCTAATGTGGAGGAGCATATCAGTAATATAACTTTTAAGTTTCTTCTCAGATTCTAATTCTATATAATTGGTAGTTCCTTAATTATTCTAGAGTTGTTTGTAAACTTTATGAATTATAATTCTGTTTGTTTATTTATTATCATGAACCAATAGCTAATGAGTGACCTTATGAATCAGTCATCACTAATTCTGCATGGATTAAGCAATCACTAATTTACCTCATTTGTTTTTACTGTAAATCTGTATTGCCTTTTAAACAGAAACATTATCCTCACTCTAGTGATCACGCTCAAATATTATGTTATGTGTTCTTCAAAGGCCTGCTTCAAAGCTTTCCCTGAGTCTTAACTTAGAACTTCTTTTTCTTTTCTAAATGTCAAAAGCATTATCTTCTAACCTCATTGCTTTCACTTTTCACTTCTTCCTCATCTGATTTTTTTTGTTTACCATTTCACTATATTCTAATAAACTCTAAACATAAATTATACCTAAAATAACTAAATAGAACATTTCTTTTTCACAGAGGAGGTATAGAAATATTGAATAAATAACTTGATGAGAGCCCAAGGAATCCCTGCCCTTTGTGTATACTTGAATACATAATAAATGTTTAAATCACTTGTGATAATTAGCTTTAGTCTGGCAAGTTTTCACCACTTATCTCTTTCAGTTATTCACTATTTTATGTTGAAATTGTGTGAGAAGAAATACACAAACAAATCTTGCTATACAAAATTGCAAATTATGCTCAGAAGAGACAAAGAAAATATGTATCTTATTGCATAGTAAAAGATTTGTAAGCCTATATAAAACTAGAAAATTTATTTACCAGTATAACTTGAGGATGATCAAGAATTACAGAATGGTAGTTCATGGTGTGTGTGTGTGTGTGTGTGTGTGTGTGTGTTTCGTAAAGGTCTAAAGTATATATTTCATAATTCACCTTATATTTTTGGCATACTGACCTGATGAACATAGTTTTCTATTCTGAAATGTAACCCCTTCTCTTTTTTTTTCATGAAAATTGCAAAGACAAAAGTAATTCAATGGTTTCTTCATCCACTGGGAATAAAGGTACCTACCATATAGCTGTTAATGTACCCTATCTCCTGTGATACCTAATGAGTGAATTGATAATAAGAATACCATTGAGACATGCCAATGGTGGATTTGAAAATTGAGGTTAGTGGCTCATGGAAAAGCATCTTATCCCAATTTTTTCCAGCTCATAAGCTTGAAGGTATTTACCAACCAGTATAAGGAAGAAAGAAAACAGATTCAAGCAAGAAAATATTAACTGGAAAGATAGGAAGGTTCCTCTGTAAAGCAGATGCTACAGACCAGTGACTGACAAACATTTTCTGTAAAGGGCCAAATAATAAATATTTGGGGCTCTATATGACATAAGATCTCTATGGTAATCACTCAACTCTGCCATTATAGTATAAAAGCAGCCATTGGTATAATGTGAATGAATGAACATGTCCATGTTTCAATAAAACTTTATTTATAGACACCAAAATTAAATTTTATATAATGTACCTGTGTCATAAAATATTACTCTCCTTTTCTTTTCTTTTTTCTTTCTTTCTTTCTTTTTCTTTTTCTTTCTCTCTCTCTCTCTCTCTCTCTCTTTTTTTTTGATCACTTAAAGCTATAAAGATCCTTCATATCTCACAGGATCATATTAAAGCATGGGAATGACTTTGGCCTATAAGCCATAGTTTGCTGATCTTTGCTACAGATGCTAGATTTTTGTTGCTATAAGGTGGTGAAACCAGTCTTCTCATTTGCTTTAGTTCATTATACCTTCATTTTTGTTATTGTTAACATAATTATGCACTATTTACTAGTGTAGCTTTTTATCTGAAAAGGCTTCATATCTTTTAAGAGACATGAAATCACAGATTTGAATCACATGACACCACTATCAAAAAGAAAGAATAAAGTAGGAACTTTGCATACAATGAACAAGGGTTGATTTTGAGAAATATAAAAAATGGAGATTTTTCCAGGAAAACTAAAACAATATTTTGTTTCCTGTTCTCACTTGTATTAAAATCATCTGTATTTATTATAATGAATAATTTTAGATCCAGCTAGCTTTAAAGTCATAAAAATAACAGATTGTATTATTATCAAATAATTTCAATAGAGAATAGTAAATCTGTAAACATCTGTTACATACCACTAGGTTTCCAATCACCATGACCATCATGTAAACAATAAGGCACATGGCTTGACCAGCAACCTCCATACAGTCCCACATGGTCTCTATCCACTCTCCACACAGCACACGGAACACAATCAGGAAGGAGTGGAAGAAGTCATTCATATGCCAGCGTGGGAGTGTGCAGTCTTCATTGATCTTGCAAACACATTCTTTGTAGCTCTTACCAAAGAGCTGCATGCCAACCACAGCAAAAATGAAGACAATGATGGCCAACACCAAGGTGAGGTTTCCCAGCGCCCCCACGGAATTGCCAATGATCTTTATTAGCATATTCAGTGTGGGCCAGGATTTTGCCAACTTGAAGACACGGAGCTAAAAGCAAATATAAATTTTAACATTATAATTATAAAAATTTCAATGTTTCCATTTTTGACTTTTGTCCTAAATTTAAAGTCGACTTTAGTCCTGTAAAATTGTCATTATTATCTGATGAAAATTGGTTATTCCTTTTTTTCATTTTCATCTCTTTTCAATCTTTCTGTTCTTTTGTTACACTTGGCAGAATATAGCTACAACACACATTACAAAGTGTGCAATTTTAGTTCAGGATTGAAATAGAAGTTTATTCATGTTGTTAGGTATTATTTCTTTTATAATTGATAATTTAACCTTAATTTTATTTTATAATACCTTTATAATTTTCCTCAAGCTGATATTGGGAAAAAGCCTAGCATATTAGGAAAAATATGTTTTCAAAAGTCTCTTTTTGTTTTCATATCAATCAATTATTTGGGGAACAGTGAATTAATCTTTAATTACCAAATCCATAAACATAGGAACACATTATGGATGAAATATTTAAACTTCCCATTGTGAAATAAATTATTTTCCTACTAG